ATTACTTTTCGTTAAAATCTTTATTAATGCCAAAAATGCTTACATTTATGTGTCTTTTTGTTCGCTCGCGCAGCCATGTTGCCGCTGTAGCCGGTTTATGCTGAGATAATTCATACCCCTTCCTTTGAAGTGTGGTCCCGAAAAATCTTCGTTTGAAGAGCTATCTGGCCCTTCCCCTTACCCCTACCCCTCCAACCAAAAGAGAATCGAGACACCCCTACCCCTTCACGTGAACGCGCGAAACAGAGGGGTAGGATTGGGATTGGGCCCAATTCTAGGTCTCTACAGATGGGAAACACAATGACAAGAAAAGGACTTAATGGACACAACCACACAAGAAAACATGGCTGAAAAAAAGAAGGTTGTGTCCAGTGCTTTATTTTCTATGGTTTACCACAAAATAAATAAATAATTAAAAATAAATAAATTAAAATACGAGGGACTTTTGCTCATTATCCGTATTACACTTATTTTCTTTTGACCTTTATCTCTAAATCTTTTTTATCATGAAATGTTATATATTTTATCTTTCTCTTTTCTTTAGTTTCTTTTTTTAATATTTTTCTCAAGTTGTAGTAGATTGTTTTCTCACAGTTTTCATTTTTTAACTGTTTTTGTTGTATGCAGCTAATAGCCTACAAATGAACAATTACTGTCATATCAGTAGGCTTAGGCTATCAGTGCACATTTTTACCTTAAAAAGCACAATTTAGCCTATGATAGCAATGTTTTCATATCTTTTTCTGATTTCATGTTATTGATATGTAAATTTCATATGACTACATATTTATTTACTTTTTTCCCAGTCACACAGATAGGAGCTGTACTTGCATGGCTAGAAATAGCTGGGGCATTATAAGTAAACAGGGAGTCATGGGAAATTCCTGAAGGAACCCAACCCATAGACCCTCCTCTAGGAATTTAGAATGCAGCAGGATCCTGACAGAACGTTGCCTAACAAGCAGGTCCCCTCAAGTTGTGGCTGAGCCCGGGGGCCTTTCTGTGTGGAGTTTGCATGTTTTCCCTATGTCTGTGTAGGTTTTCTCCATGTGCGCCATTTCCCCCTTCATTCAAAGACATGCAGCACAAGTGAATTGGAGACACTAAATTGTCTGGAGGTGTGAATGTGTTGTGTCTGTGTGTGAGCCCTGTGGCTGGCCAAAAATTTTTGATGGCTAGTCAGGCATTATTTCACAGTATCTCAACTTTTATCTCAAACAATTATCTCAAAATAAATGATATAGTGAAACAACATTCATTATAATAACTGATACAAATCTAATGTATGATCCTTGAATTCTCTGAGCTTATATACAGTAAGACATTTACAGGTACCATGTAAGAGTAGGAAAGTAAGAACTAAAGAGGATCTTGTGATTTATTTTTCTTAATTGCCTCAACTGAAATGTAATCCATCCATTATTACACACAAAACAAATAATTACTAAGTCATGACAATTTACTTGAAGGCTAAACTGAAATGGTCCTTAGCTGCCACTTTAGAGCATTAAAATGCAATCATTTTATGCTGTGCACTATATGTCCAGTATTTTATTAGTATTCAACAGTGACACATTTAGTTTTTAGATACTCATTCAGAGCTTCTTGTCCTGTTGGGGAGAAATACACCCAGTTAAAACAATATACAAAAAGTATTTATTATAAGATAAATGATTACTGAAATATAGTACAATGACTACTCAAAAAACCTGTTGGATATGTGTTTATTTAAATTCATTTATCATGCATCAAAATAATTATATCATTCACACAATCGTATTTTTGTCTTACCCAAATCTTTGCCAAAGCCAGACTGTTTGAAGCCACCAAAAGGAGCAGCCACATCGGTCTTGTTGTAAGTATTGATGAACACAGTGCCGGCCTGAAGTTTTTCACTCACATACAGAGCCTTACTGATGTCACGTGTAAACACACCTGATGCTAAACCATATTCTGTAGCATTAGCCCTCTGCAGCACTTTGTCAACATCTCTGATTGAGGAAAAGGCAGTTTACAATGTTGCTTTTGGTCATGTTGTTACAACTCTGACAAATTTGTACAACGTATACAGTTAAATCTATTATAAATAATTTAAAATTGAGTTTATATAGATTGACTGGTGTGAAACAATCAGCAGTTTAGAGGTAAAAGTAGCTTATTTCTACCAACCCATTACTGAATTTGGAGATGATCATGACTGGCCCAAAGGACTCCTCAACAGCAATATACATGTGATCCGGCACGTCAGTGAAAAGAGTTGGTTCAAAGAAGAAACCTATAGAGATACAAGATGTAAACAACATTGTACTTTGTCCCTCACTAAGACTTATGCATATGCTCACACACCTGGACGGTTCACTTGTTTCCCTCCACATACTAATTTTGCTCCTTCTTTGACCCCCTTTTCACAGTATTCCACCAGTTTGTCCAGATGAGCTTTGTGGTTCTGGGGGCCATGGTCTGTGGAACGGTCCAGTGGATCACCAATCTTCATCTTCTTTATTTCACTCACCTACATAGATGCAGTTATATATGCTATGAGCTTTGAATTAAGATACTGGAGTTGCAAATTAATTATAAAATCATGAATTATTAACTTATCTAGGCTATTACAGTATGCCTTTTACACTGGAGTTAAAATCAAATGGTCTTAGTTAAATTATTTTAAGAGGTTAGTATGACTATATTTTTAGTAGCTTCAAATTGCTTCCGAAAGCTTGAGCTGATTCAGCCACAGGTAATCAAAAGGAATACAGTATATGTAAAAATAGAGATGAAGTTATTAAACCATATATATTGTTCTTTACCATTCTCTCCACAAAAGTGTCATGGATAGATTCCTCAATGAAAAGTCTCCCTGCTGCAATGCAGTTCTCTCCCTTATTGAAGAACACAGAGCTCATACCCTGTAGACAAGAAGTGTGTGTGGAGGGTATAAAATATGTCTGCGATTATAACCAAACATTTACATTGCAAATAGAATTGTGTGACGGTACTGAGGTAAACAAACCATTCTGACAGCCTTGTCCAGATCACAGTCATTAAAAATGATGAGAGGAGACTTCCCTCCTAGCTCAAGAGAAACCTTCTTCACGTTGCTGACTGCACAGCTACAAGATACACAAGCTTTTTGATGTTCAAGCTTTTCAACAAAAGCTGAAATCTGAAAACTTTAATTTAAAGAGATACTCAAACCCCAGCATTGTTTAGATTTAAAACAGATGCTCATTCACCTTTTCATGATCTGTTTGCCAATCTCAGTGGAGCCGGTGAAGCCAAGTTTTCGAACATCAGGGTGGTCAGATAACCGCTGACCAACCAGAGACCCTGAAATTTACATATGTAACAAATATCCAATGAATCTACAAGCAGATAGCTTGAATTAATCAGATGTACTAAAAAATAAAGTGTGCAAAGAATTTACAATACTGATATTGAATTGTGTACAGAAAACAGTTAGAGTACATCAGTTCATTTTCATTGACAGGTTTGGGCTATACTAAACTCTATTGTGTATGTTTTGTTTTATATGCACCTGATCCTGGTAGTATGTTCACCACGCCTTTCGGAAACTTTGCCAATGCAGTTAATTCAGCAAACTTGAGAGCAGTCAAAGGTGTGACCTAGAATAGAATGCAGAAACAGAGTCCTTAAATTCTGTGTGTGTGTATATTGTTCGGGTTAAATATGCCATGCCCATGTGCATTTTTGTTTTAATATAAACTTCAGTTCTTTACCTGTGCAGGTTTGAGCACCACAGTGTTTCCAGCTGCTAGGCAGGCTGCAGTCTTCCATGCCAGCATCATCAGTGGATAATTCCACGGAATGACAATTCCACACACACTGAACATAAACAAACAAGAGCTAAATATTCTCAACACTCTGTCCAGATTAACTAAATGCATAGTAATTGAGGTGATTTTTTCATGGTGAGGCTGGACAAAAACATGGAGGATATTTTTTATGGGGAGAGTTGATTTTACCCAATTGGTTCTTTCTTGGTGAAGGTAAGGTTTCGATTAGGTCGAGCCTGGTTGATAGGAATAGTGCAGCCCTGTGGAGAATAATTTAATATATTTCAGACACACACAAGGATATGTAAATTTTTTTATATTACTAAAACTGTAGTTTCTAATACAATGCAGTCAAATTAGCTTTAAAGTAATCTTCTGGGTTCAGTTCAAGTTAAGCTCAATCAACAGCATTCAGTGCATATTAATTATCACAAAATTCAATTTGACTTTTGTTTTATTCCAAAAAAATTATTTCAAAAATGTTTAAATAAGGTGAATAAAGCTTGAAAAAAAAACACAGAATGTTTACTTTAATAACAGAATATCCTAAATATGACACTGTGGCATACATCACAAATGATGGCTGATAAATAAATATTCTGATAAATAACAAACCAACCTGAATCTTGTCACACCAGCCAGCGAAATATCTGAATGTTTGAATAGACATGCCGATGTGTGTTTTGAGGGCAAGAGTATAGACTGCTCCTGAGTCTATGGTCTCAATAGTGGCCAACTCTTCCTGATGCTGCTCCATCAGATCAGCCAGTCTGGAGAATAGACACATACACACAATTACAATTATGAAACTTTACTCATATGTTTATCACTGCAGAGACTGTGTTACAAATAATCATCGTCCATCACATATAGTTGTATATTTCCTTTCTGTAGTCATCCTTGTCGAATGTATTCATACTTAATGAGAGAACAGTTTGGTCAATCAAAAAGCTCATATTTTCATAACTTTTTTGCCAGTATGGTCTGAGCAAAGATAATCAGAGTCAAATTTGGTAAGTACGTTATTCAAACAATTACCAGTTCAATGCAGAAACATAAGAAAGAAAGAAACCTATGTGTAACTGCAGTGTTTAAATATAAAATGCATGTACTTGTAGAGTAGTTTGCCTCGGTCTCTGGGGTTCATCTTGCCCCACTCTCCCTCCTCAAATGCTTCTTTAGCTGCAGCCACTGCTTTTTCCACATCCGAGATCTGAGCTAAGGACACATCACAGATTGCCTACACAAACAAAAGTTGAAATGTGAATGTGAAAAAGAAGAAAATAAATAATGCAGAAAGACAGAGTGAAAAAGGAAACTGTGTCCCCTGTGTACCTGTCCATCAGTGGGGTTAATGGTCTTATAGGTCTTTCCCTCTTCAGCATCTACAAACTCTCCATTTATGAAAAGCTGGTGTGGGATTCGGATTGTCATGTTGTTCAGTTTCTTTTCTACCTACAACAGAAATGCAGATACATAATCATAAAATACAAAATTACAAATACATACACGCACACAAAAGAAAAAAAACTGTATAAAAGCCAATTTACCTAATCAACTTTGTTTTTTCATAAACAGTCAGTAATTCTAAGTTTGATACCTGCGATGTTTACCACTGTTTGAAGTCTAGATCTACAGTATCTCAAATTAAAAATCTGAATCTTTATAGAAATAATGTTAAAATTTCCACTTAAACATACAACAATTACTATCACAAGTACATCAAGTACATCATTCTTCGTTCCCAACTTTTTTGGAATGTACTGCAGGCATCAAACTTAAAATGAGTGTATACTTGGACTTCTAGAGTTCCTGATATCATTTGTAATATTCTGTAAAATGCTGAAATAGTGTCCGTTTCAGCATTGCATTTTTGTATATAAGTTATATATGTACTGTATATATATTTCAAGACAAAATATATATAATTATAAGCTACTACCCATTTAACAGATGCAATACTAACATAGTCTACGGTGAACTCTTCTTCCTCGTCCTCTCCTCTCAGCTTCCTCACACACATTTGAATGAACTCTTCAAAGCTTGTTGCCATGTAAACATCCTCATTCTGCAACTGCAACTGTGCTGCCCTCAACTTTACCTCTTCCACCAGTCTATAGTACAAAAATAAGACAAAATCTTAGCAAAATCAAGTATGTACATGTATGTACTGCATGATGAGAATTATATATTCACATATTACCTGACTACATCCATCGAAGCAGCACCAGATTTAAAGAAGTCAGTACTGTCTTCAACCTTCTCTACATTAGTCAAAATACTCTTCCACACCACCTGGACAAAAAAGCAATAAATACTCTAACCTTCTGCCTTCAACACACATTATCTTTCAGAATGTAGAAAAGTAGTATTTAATACTAACAGGTTTGTAGCATACAGACAAAGAATATCAATAACACAAAGAATATCATGGTGACTAGTAATGAAATGAGTGATATATTTTCACCCTCATCTGCTGAGCAAATTGTTTTTCATCCTCAGAGAGCTCCACAGTGGAACTGACAGCAGCTTTAAAATACTGGGATGCAGCAATCATCTTCCCATCCTCAAACTGCATATTCTTCACAAGTAACTATACACAAGTACAAACAAACTTTATGTACTTAAATACAGACACACGCTCATCTACAGACTTGCATTGCACATTTTATTGGGTAAATGTGTAAATGAAAACTCAAAAATGAAAATTCAATTTAAATTCATCCTCATGTTATTCTAAACCTGTATGATTTTTTTTATTTATTTTTTTTATTCTGTGACACACAAAAGATATTTTGAAAATGTCAAAGTGTCTAAACAAAGAATGTCAAATGTTTGGAACAACATGGGTGAGTGAGGGATGAATAATGACCTATTCTTTTAAAGACTTTAATCTTAGTAGGGCCCAAGTACAATTATGTTATTGTCCATTACCATATGGGCTAGAATTCTGCTGAATCCTTGAGTTGAGACAAAAGGAAATGTAGGGCTTAAATTTCTATACATTTTACACTTTTTCTAAGTAATACACAGGCTGTTTGTCCAGTTCACACAAAACTTGGTACTGATAATCTAGAGACCCTCATGACAAAAACATTTTGATTCAGTACATCATTTCTAAGATGTGATCTAATTGATTTTTCAGCTGTGGCTCATTTTGAAACACTGAAACAGTAAGACTTCTGTGTAGCATGTTTCCACTGAAAATGCTTCTGTTGCTAGGGGATCTCTTTGGATTTGAGACTTTAGTCTTTGCAACTTTACAGATCTTCTTTATGCACCAAGAGCTTGTAACACTCTAAAGAGAAAGGAAAAAATGAAATCGCATCATATGACCCCTTTAAGAAAAACCTAATTGTGCTATCTGTGACTGAAGAAGTTGACATTTGACTCAAAAGCAATTGCATCCGCAGCATCAACAGGATCTATTCTTTTGAATTTGTCTATTTTGGCCATGGTCTCTTCACGTGTGCTTGGACCGTGATGATTGCAGCTTGCACTTAAAAGGACAGTTCACCTAAAAATGAAAATTGTGTCGTCATTTACTCACCCTTGTGTCATTCCAAAAGGGAATCACTTTCTTTGTTCTATAGTTTTTTCTCCTCTTTTTTCAAGTTTTTCAGTTAACAACATTCTTCTTTTGTTATCAGTAGAAGAAATAAACACATACAGGTTTAAGACAACATGAGTGTGAGTAAATTATGACAGAATTTTTATTTTTGGGTGAACTAACCCTTTAAATTTGGGTGGCAAAGTCACAACCCCCCCCAACTACTCAGGCTAGCACAAATGAATCCTGCCTAAAATAGGTGGTACTATATTAACTATGTTTTGTGCCTATATCAAGTTTTATCTTTATCAAGTTTAGCAATTTTAATAGCATAAATTAAAAATATCTCTGCATGTCCTTACCCTCTTGCCATCATTCCCAAAAAGAACAAGGCCATTTTTGGTAACCAGACCTGGTCGACTTGCTCCAGGGATTTCCAGAGGTTGACCATTACTTGAAGAATGATCATTTTCCAACAGTGTTGATCCATAAAATGAAACATTCTACCAAAAGAATTAAAACAATACTGTTGCAACAAGAGAAGTTTTTGCACATAATTTAATGCATTTGACTAAGAGTCTCTGCATGTTTCCTGTACTGTTGTGTGTGTTAATTAAAACACTCACTTTGTCATCAATCTCTGCCCAGGCTCCAGGTACTCTGTCATTTCCTCTGATCCAGTTATGAATGGCTTCTGCTGGCTGGTTCCAGTCAATCTATTCAACCAACCATAGATAGTTATTGTTTAAATGTTGTGTACAACAATGAGGTTGAAGCTATACATCTATATATCGGCTGTTGTGCTTTGCTAGAGAACTCCACCTTTGAATTTTCTTTCTTCTGAATACACTCATATGTGGCTCCTTCCTCTGGTTGCTTTATTCTCAGAGCTGTACCTGCTGCAATCAACCTGACTGCCTCCACCTAAAACAAAAACACACACACAAGAATCCAAGGGTGCTCTCATTAAAACGGTGAATGGAATTCTGTTTTAAATTTCATGCATAGTATACTATAGTTTGCAATATGATGTAGCTGTAGAAGTTTCTGCATTGATCCACACCATGCCTTTGACTCCCTCTGGGAACAGGAAGCGTTTGTAGATGCTGTTTACATTGTCGTTTGGCTCCACATCACATTCTCTTTGTAAAAGAATTGGTCCTGTGTCCAGTCCATCATCTGCCCAGAATATAGTAAACCCACCCTTCTTATCACCATGAATCAGAGTCCTTAGAGGACACAAAATAGCAAAACATAAATTATGTTAAAACAACGCAATTTTACATAATTTACACATTTGAGAATTGTGTTATCATTTGCTCATCCTCATGCTGTTTCTGTCAGTGAATACAATATTGTGCCAAGCCCCAAAAAATAAAATATGATATTTTTTAAACACATATTTTTTCCACAGCAGTTCACTCTGCATCCTCCACTGTTTTTCATAGATGCGTTTTGGCCATAGAAAATTATTGTTGATTATTTTCTTTATTGAGATTATTGATTAATTGTTGCCTCCCCAGACCTACTTTTGGTTTACGGCTCAAATCAATACATCCTACACTGACACCAAATACTGGGGTCAAAGCAGTTGAATAATATTTCTAATTACCATACATATACACATGTGCTAATAAAACACAAAAAGAACACACATACACATACTCAGTAATAAAACACAAAAAGCGCACATACACACAGACATACCAGTTAATGGCAGAGGCACCTCTGTGTCTGGGCAGCAAGGAGGGATGATAAATGATGGACCCGTGTGTTGGGTGATCTATCACTTCCATAGGGATGAATTGAGAGCAGAAAGGAAGAACATTCAGTTCAGCACCAACTGCCTTATACTGATCCACCACTTCTGTGATGGCCTTTCCCTTCAGCCTCCAGCGGGGAAACTTGAACACTGGCACGCCATCCTTCTCTGCCTCAGTCGCTGTGGAAAGTTTAAAGATTTATTTCAATTTGTGTAACATTTGTGTTTTATTTTTCAGATTCATATTCAAAAAAGAGCAGTGGCGAAGCACACCTACAAATAACAGGCAATTTTATTTTTCAAAGACAGAGGTTGGCCAAAGTTCCATAGTGCAGCTAATTCATAATTCATTACATTTTGGGGAATCCCACAACAAGACAATTAACGACCTGAATTCATTTGTCTTGCCATTTACAACCTGAACTGATCTTGTCTTGTCATATTTTATATTTCAAGAGACTTGTTGACCTTAACACATAGTCTTGAGTTTTCTTCTGCATGTTTATAAATGTTGGTTGCATCACATTACTTATATTTAATGGATAGTACATGTATATTTTAAATGATTTACATTTTATATAAATATTCAAATTTTAATGAATTTAATGAATGTTTTTTTTTTTTTAATTATGAACAGTTCAGCAATTTAACAGAACAGTTGTATCACCATGATATTTTAATACAGTATATAAAAACATATTCACCGTAGAAGAACTCCATTTATGTATGAATTCCATTTTTTATGTATTTTTGAAAAAAGGACAGATTCAGACCAAGATGAATGTTTGGTGCAAGAGCAGAGCTGCTGTTGTTACATAAGAGTTACTGTTACTGTCAGAGAGTGAATTTGCCTTTCATTCAGCCCGCCTGCCATATTTTGGCACTGGTCTGAACAAATCACATGTAAAAATTGGACAAAATGTTCACTCCAAACATCTGTGCAAAAATCTAAATTCTGTTATCATTTACTGGCTCTTTCGTTTTCCCAGATATATGACTTCCTTTCTTCAGAAGAACACAAATTAAGATTTTTAGAAAAAGAATCCATCTCTGAGACCATATAATGTGTATCAGTCCCTCAAACTTGATGACGTTCCCAATGATCGTTTATAAATAATATTTAAATATGAGCACTTTTTTTACACAACAATTTTTTTTCACTTCAGAAGACTTAATTGGGGTCATATGGAATACCATTGTATCTGTTTGTGTGTTCGTTTAAACTTCAAAGGACTCCACACACTAAATGGACCCAAAGAGGTGGCTTATATTTAGAAAAATCTGTTTGTGTTTCACAGAAGAAAGAAAGTCATATAAACCTGGTATAGCATGGGTAAATATTGAGAGAATTATCTCTTTTGGAGTAACATCAATGATCCTAACAGAAACAAGAGACTTACCAAGTGGGTCCATTTTTCCATCTTTGTCAGGGATGGTGAATACACCAACAATCATGTGGCCATCCTTCTTCAGTTCTTTGTACACTTCCTGTCCAAAGAGACTCTGGCCAATCACAGCAATCTTCATCTGAAATGAAAGGAACATATACAGGTTAAAAAAACTATTATTGACTACATACACAACTACTACTATTACTATACATGCTAGCATATTAGTTCTAAAATTAAGTATAAAATAGTTTGATGACATCTTTTACAAGCACTGTAAATATATGCACTTCCTATAACAATTAAAATAAAAACCTCTCTTTACTCTCTTTCTGCATTTCACTTCTCTAGCTTGTTTACCTCTCCGTCTTAAAAAGTAAATTTTGGAATTTTGTACTGCAGATATTGTTCTTATGATAAATTGCTTGTCAAGTTGCTTTGGAATTAATTCACAAGCCTATGCTTGTTATGCAAGACCATGTTTAAGGGAAATTCAGGTAGTCTGGCCTACCACTGGAGAAGAACCCTCCAAAACGGTTGCTTAGTGAATCAGTGTTTGTACTGGTAAGCATGTGCAAAGTGTGAATAGGGAATTCACTTAGCAACCTCTATCATGATTGTGCCCTTGAGCAGGACACTTAACTTTAACAGGGCTCAATAATAAAGATGGACTGGAAAATGAGGCCAATGTGAGCATTTCAAGCCAGAATTGTCAACTACCCTTTTTGGATGTTCTTACAACTCAATTATCTTATATTGATTGATTATGTACATCTGTTTTTATCAAAAAATGCAATTTTTACAGCATAGATGTTTAGGGAGTTACTAGCCTTCACAAAATTAAATTAGCTCTAAAATTTTTAATACAGGTATTACAGGAAAGTCTGTAACTCCCAATATTATATCCTATTTTTTTTTTTATAAAATCTGACCCACAAGTGTAAGGAGTAATACTGAGGAGACATTTAAAATTCTTCAAAAAATAGTCTGTGTGGCTCTTAACAGTGTTTGGCATCAGCGTCTATGTCTCTGTAATAGAAAAGCTGTACATTTATTTAGCTTCTTCAAAAGCAGCCATGTTACCACCTTACTACAGAGAAATGTCATGTACCCTTCAGGTGGCTGAACTATTTTATTGACAACGTTGTAGGGCAGTGCTGACAACAAGCTTCTATGAGTGTAAATGTCTCTATGTGTGCACGTATCATAAGTGTTTGGCATAATTTTGCTTAATTCGCTATATGCAATTTAGGAGCTCATGCAACATGTCATACATTAGGAGTCCATACAAATCAAAGTGAAACAGATGTGTCAAGCTCCAAGAAAGATAAATGAACTATAATTGTAGTCTATAATTGTATAACTATAATTGTAGCCATTGCTTATGTATTTATTTTATTGATTAGTCACAAAAATGTTCCCTTCTGCTCTGCCCATTCCAAATATCATATGCCTATATGGAGGGAAAAAGGGGAATTGGAACTATGTTAAAACTACATTTACCCTGCCCTGAAACAATTTTTTCAGGCACTGTTCTAAACTTTACAGACGTTGGTACACATTAAAGAAAACTTTTTATCCATTTGCAATGCAATGTGATGCTATAATTTAAGAATTACCTCAAAGCTACACAACTGCAGTCAATAAAGTTGAAATGTCACCAAAACAATTTACATTTATTCATTTAGGAAAGGAAAGGACATGACATGTGGCCAAGTATGTAGTGAGCAGTGATTAGTGAACAAACACACACACACTGTGTGAACACACACACCCAGAGAGTGGGCAGCCATTTTTGCTGCGGTGTCCGGGGGTTCGGTGCCTTGCTTGAGGCTCTCACCTCAGTTGTAGTACTGAAGGTGGAAGAGAGCACTGTACATTCACTCCCCCCAACTGCAATTATTGCCGGTACCGAGACTCAAACCTAACCATTAGGCCACGACTGGCCCACGTTATTTAGCAGACACTTTCATGTCATTTGTTAATAAACTTTAGATGTTGTTCATTCAGATAGACATGCAAGTTAATCTTGTTCAACAAGTGCAATGAAATAAGTGCAGCTCTAATGTACAGGCATGCACTTACATATAATAATCCCCAATTCATTCCCCATTTATTTTCCCAAAGACAAAAGAAGAAAAAGAAAGAAAGAAAGAATTGGATTTATGTTGTTTTTATGATTTAATCATGTACATTGTTTCCACCTGAATAAATTAGCACAAACATAATTAGTTCACATAATGCTAAAATGTTAAAAATATGCACAGTTCCTGTTATGTAACAACAAAAACTAAATAAAAATAAAGTTAGCCAGTATGTTCTGCACATCAACACTGTGAAGCAGAAATACCATTTAAACAAAATTGTTTCTTTTAACTTCTTCTTTACTTTTAGCCAAACTGAACAAAACAGATTTAAACCAGAAACCATGAAACATATATTTAATCTGCTTTTTTGTGCTTAAACCATATTTCTTCTAAAAAGATTTATAGTAGACATGCAAATTTTGTTCATCAGCATTGCAGTTTGTTATACAATTAAAGGTCGAGAATTTGTTTCCAAAGTCCCACACACCGCAGATAGCACAGCCAGGAAAAGATCTTATTGATTCTGTGTGGCTTTTTCCTGCCTACAAAGATTATGGGGTAAACAAATAGCATTTGTTTGTGAATGACAACCTGCTGACCGAAACAGTAACTAGAAGAAGGGGTCATTCAGTTCAGTATATGAATCAATCTTGTGCATCAAGGAATGAAAGAGAAGGCAGAAGAACTTATTAATGTGTAAAAACACTAATGATGACCATACACTATTTAAACGATATAAGAATGTTATTGAAACCCATAATCAATTTCATTAAGACTATTACTGTTGTCTTTTTCTATAAAGACCAGTTGTCAGAAATAGGGGAATACATCTGTTATAATTCTTATGCTTTTGTAAACAGCCTGTGCCATAAACAATTGTGTTTTTGAATAAATATGTTGAGTTGAATTAATGATTAATTCAATGGTGTAAAAGACATTTACTGGTCGCCACTTATGTAATTGTGTAATGAAGTAACCTTGAAAAAGGGTCAATGAACATAAGGGTAAGAAGCAACTTTTATTATACAGTCCATGTTGTTCGTGATTTTATTGCTGATTTTAAATATGTTATTAAAATGTGATTTTGGCAAGTGATTATGGTGAATCAGTTTGAGAATCAGTCTCCATTCAATTAGACAGGGGATCTATTTCCATGACTGAAAACAGCTGCATTCCCAAGATGGCTGCCGATCACTTGCCTTTTGAGAAAACGGTTATATTGGGATTCAAGTGCATAATACCATAAGCTGACTTGTACACATAGTTTATTGTATCGTTATTATTTTCATTTGAGTAGGTTTTTACAAACAGTTCATGGCCTACAAGGGCAATTTCATCCCCCTGCACAATTGAGTCCAAACTTGTGATCCCATTGACTGAAAGGGCATTTATTGGAAAACCAATAGTGTCTGACTGGAAAACCTACACATTCGATTTGTTATCTTAACTATGACTTTAACTGTCTTTTTAATTTATGTTACTTATAATGGTATATAAATTGGTTATAATGGCTCTTTACCTGCTCAGCATGCTAGATTAGCCTATGTTAGCACGCTAGCTGTATAGCTTATTAAATCTATCATGTTTGATCATCTTTAATAATTTGTTAATAACATGCCAATAACAAAATAGGAAACAATTAACATATGTATTTAATATGTTGTATTACTATATTGAATTTAAAGGGGTCATATGATGCGAATTCAATTTTTCCTTTCTCTTTGAAAAGACAGCAAGTTCCCCTCAGACATGGATTCATAAACTACCCCTAAATAAATCGCGATTTGTTTAGCATCTCGATTTGAATCGTCACATATTTGAATCGATTTTCAACCGGCTCGTGGTTAATCGTTACATCCCTACTCGTTTATAATGGGTTTTCATGTTTTTGAGTCATCACTCCGGCCTGACAGGGCATCACAGTATGGTAGGGGAGTAACATTTCCGTCACACGCTTGAGGTATTCGGCCAATCACAACGCACTAGATAGCTGGCCAATCACAGCACACCTCGCTTTTCAGACCAATGAGCTTTGTAAAAATCGACGCGTTTCAGAAAGGCGGGGCATAGAGGAGAAACAATAATGTACAGTATGTGGAAAATAATGTGTTTTTTGGACCTTAAACCGCATAAACACATTTCATTACACCAAATACACAAAATAATGTTCTTTTTAGCAACATCATATGACCCCGTTAAAATAAAATATATTTAATAAGATCACCTTTAGTATGATACAGCAGGCTACAGTAGTGCTAAGGCACTGTAAAATAACTAATACAAGCTACGGTTACAAACAGGGTCCCATTTGTGCAGGGGCCCCATACACTTTTGAAGTGTATCACCGCATCACTGCGACATCGAGAACCGCATGTTTGGAAATCTGAATTGCAAAAAAAGTGTTTGCAGAAGTAGACATGGCCTAGTTCTAGGACTCTCGTACTTCGACTGATTTTGAGGCGGAATGTCGGACACGTCTGACACGTTCTCTGATTGAGTTGTTAACAGTGTTTGGAACAAACACGAACTGCCCTAAACGACTCAGTTCGATTTGGCGAACCGGTTCAACTGGTTTACTGAAAAGAACCGGTTCAAAAGAACGATTCGATTCGTTCACGAACCAGATATCACATTCCAAGCCGGGCAACAGAAAAGTTTTTTAAAATGAGTCTGTAAAAATAAATGAATATCAAAAAGTAGTGAAACCCACCAAAGAAAAGGCTCATCATTGAAGGATAGTTGCTCAATCGAGTGCACTGCAGGGTCACACAAAGTTCGATCAATGAGATACGCCCACAACAATCTAAATATTTAACCTGACATTTACTGCAAATAACATGGAACGATTTAATCTAGCATGTCACAGAGTTTAGGCTACTATAATGAAAAGAAGCCAACACATTAGTCAAATCTGACATTAACTTTACATGAACTAGGCGACATTCTTTTATGCACGTTTGCTTATTTAAAACAAAAAACGTTTTCGCTAACACAAGACTAATTTACGAATGTACGACACGAAACAAGCATGTGCCCTTTGTCAAAAGGAATCAGCCGTTGCGCACACAGGCTATGTGACTATTTGCTTGCATTTTTAAGCAATCTACATGTAGCCTATGTTGATATTACACGTATCATACCTTTGCACGTCCAGATTGGAGCTGTTCCTCTGCAGGAAAGAAGGATTCAGCAGACACTGTTGCTATTTATTTCAGCACAACTGTATTGCAGACCAGCGATCAGACTACCAATAGCGTTATTACAAACGCAAGGGGGTGGAACCGAAAGTTTCCGTTTCCACAGTTTTAGAAGCATATGCTGGAATCATAGTGTAAAAACGTGACAAATGTGTAGGGCTGTATAATGTGACGCGTTGTTGCTACCACTGAGTTTTTATAAGAGTAAGCCAGACGATTATAATCAATATAATACTACGAATTTAAGGTCCAAAATAAACTTAAACTTGTATTGTTTAAAGTTTATTGACCTTTTTTTTTTATTTTTTAAACGTATTCGTGCCTATTGACTTGAAATTGTGTTAACGTAGGCCTACAGAACAACAAGAACAACAGAAAATAAGACATATATCATAAAAAATCATATAAATAGACAAAACCAAAAGCCCAAACGTGACAAATGTGAAAAAAGCCCAAACATGAAAAAAGGCGAAACATTTGGGAATAAAAAATGGCCAATATAAGAAAATTGGGGCGTCGTCTGCGAATTGGGACATTTTTTTTATTCTTTATCTTGAATTCTAATACTTTTAATCACATTATTCTAATTGAAATTTAAAATCTGATTAACTAGGAAAAGAAAGAGGGCAGCCCAATATACCTCTGTGAATAGGACATTTTTTGTTGTCCCAGATATAAGTTTAACAAAACAAGTTCCGCTTACATAAAGTGTTTTCACTGCATTGATAATTGATCAAATCAAAGAAACATAATACAGTAAAAAATGAGATTATGGCTAACAGTATTGAAGGCTTTTTGAAAGTCTAAGAATGTAGGATCCAAAACCAAATCATAATCAGTCAAACCAAGAGCTAACTTACATATGGAGTATGTGGCAACCATTCACAAACCCTGACTGGCACTCATCAATCAAACCATCAAAGGCCAGATTTAGGTAATTTTACCAGGACAGATGACAACATTTTATAGTTGTTATTTAACTATGTGATTGGCTTGCAAGTTATCGATCAAAAGAGTATCTAGTCTATTGACCTGGCTGTGTTTGTCTGGGCAGTAATTCAGACATGCCAATCAAACAAGCCTTGGGTAAGGGAAATGTTGATTCTGTTGTATTTTAGTCAAATATTTCATAATATGTGATACCGTGATTTCCTAGAAGTTAGTTGAAATTTTTTTGCATTCAGTATTTCTGAATATAAAATGGAGATGTTAACAATTGAGTGAATTTGAGTGCCCAAACAATCTCCTAGAATCACAGCTGCAGTCTGATATTAGTAGAATCTTGCATCTGAAAGTCTCCAAAATTGTGGACAGGTGATACATAAGCATGACTTTCCTGTTATAAAAAGAGCTTACAGTTTGCCAAACATTACCAGACATTTCACTGGGACTAGGTTCTTTGGTCGGAATATACAAAATTAAATCAACACCTGGCTGCCTCTGTCATGAAGTTTAAAGCATGTAGCGGTTGAATCTTCCAGCAGGACAATGATCCAAAGTAAACATCAAAATCAACACAAAACTGGTTCACTGACCACAGAATCAAGGCTTTGCCTTGGCCATTCCAGTCCCTCAGTCTTTCAAAGAAAAATAGTCTCCTCCTGACCTAGACTCCATAGAAAACCAGTAGGGTGAGCTGAAGAGGAAAGTACACAAACTTGGACCACAGAATATGAAGCATCTGAAAAGTTCTGCATGTGAAAATGGGCTCAGATCAATAGGAGAAGAACTGTAATTTTAACAAAGCAAGGCAAAAAAAATGAAAGGATGACAATAATCAAGGAAAATCTATGTTATGATCATAATTTATTGCAGTTGTTTTACTTTGAATTAAAGTTCAGATTTTTAAGAGTATATTTTGAATGAAAGACCCCACATGAAAAAATACTATAGTAATTTATAGTAAATACTAAAGTGTTTTTGAACCATACTATAGTAACGTGTATTATATTGTATATATTATAGTATTTACAACACTTTGTTAATGAATGCTACAGCATACTGTAATATTAACTATAGTGAACTGATAAACTGTAATAAATACTGTGGTATACTTTAGTTTTTACTACAGTAAACTGTAGGGTATTGTAGTAAAATATTCCCTATAGTTGTAGAAAATGTATTGCATTGAAACAGTATTGGATAAAGTAATTTGTTTGTAATTTGTATTACTATATTTGTTATATTACCACAGCAACTATAGAATTACCACAACAAATTAATTCAAGTACTTTACTATAGTATGGTTCAAAAACACTATAGTATTTACTATAAATTACTATAGTATTTTTTCATGTGGGAACAGAAAATGCGTTTTTCCACAGACTTTTTTGCTCATATTTACCTAGTGTGCCATAATTAGTGGAGGGCACTTCTCAGGGCTTTGTCGGATAAAAAAAAAAAAAGTGATTGGGCAAGAATAGCTAAATGTGGGACAAAACAAGGCACAGGTGGGACTAATCAATCAACTAATGAGTAACGGTGGATAACACCAATGCTGTGTTCAAAATCCCCAATATACCTGTATAATATTATGTTGTGATCACAATGGACAATTTAGAAAATGGATGGATAAATGTATCATTTGGCTGCAGGCGTCATCTTGAGGCAAGATGCGGGAATTTATTCGGCATGATGACCCTCACAGTGCATTTTGGGTATTCTATATCCATTGAGTGTACATCAGTTAGGTGCATTATGAGATTGAATGAGTGCACTTGATAAAGCCCACTATGGTTTCAGAAACAACTACAAATGTCTAGTGCCCTATTTAAGGGTATTGTCACGGCTGGATAGAGAGGCATACACAGGAAGAACGATTCAGAGCTTCTTTATTTACATAAACTGAAGGAGAACTTCAAACAGTAAGTTTAAACTGAAACATAACTTTAGCTCATCAAACTGAAGAGTAACGGTCCTTATCTTAATCCTTTTAGGGAGATCCAGCAAGACGGCGGGAGACACAGAGCCACAGAGATCAAGAGAGGTGAGTAGAGGCATGAGGAAAGGTATGCAACCTTGAGACCAGTCGATGAGGGACTGAGGTGAGTAGAATTATATAGTGCTCAGGTAAGTGGCATCAGGTGTTTGTAATTAATAGTCTGGTGATTGTGAACGGGTGTAGGTGGCTAGTGTGGCTGGTGAATCTGTGACAGTACCCCCTCCCCCACGGGCGTCTCCTGGTGCCCGTGACCGACGGCGAGGATGAGGACCCCCTAAGAGCGGGACGATCTGGGTGCGACTGATGGAAGTCGGAGAGGAGTGACGGATCCAGAGCATCATCTTTGTCCACCCATGATCTTTCCTCTGGACCGTACCCTCCCAATCCACAAGATACGGGAGCCGGCCGCACCGCCGTCGGGAGTCTAGGATTTCTTTGACTCTGTGGATGGTCTCGTTGGGGTCGACCTCGGTAGGAGGAGGTATCTCGTGCTCTGCAGAAGGAGGGAGAAGTGGATTAGTGTAAGGCTTTAATAAAGACACATGGAAGGTGGGTGAGATGCGGTAGGTGTCTGGGAGTTGGAGTTCGTATGTGACCTCATTGATTTGCCTCGTGATAGGGAAAGGGCCGACATAACGGGGACTCAGCTTCCTGCTGGGCAGCCGGAGACGAATATCCCGAGTGGAGAGCCAGACTCGGTCACCTGGTTGGTAAGCAGGCATTGGCGTAATCCTTGTGTCTCCGTACTGCCCGCTGGAGATGGACATGTGCTGATTCCCGTACCCTCTCGCTCTCACGGAACCAGTAGTCAACCGCGGGGACTTCCGAGGGCTCACCAGTCCAGGGGAAGAGTGACGGTTGAAATCCGAGCACGCACTGGAATGGTGTTAACCCTGTTGTTTCCTGTCGCAACGAGTTCTGAGCGTACTCGGCCCAGGGAAGATACTCGGAGATACCGCCCGATCTCCTGGATCTTGCGTTCGGTCTGGCCGTTGGTTTGGGGATGATAACCTGAGGAAAGGCTGACAGACACTCCCAGCAGACGGAAGAAACCACGCCAGACCCTAGATATGAACTGCGGCCCTCTATCCGAAACGATATCTTCAAGGAGACCAAAGTTTCGAAAGACATGCTGGAAGAGAGCTTCGGCTGCCTCCAAGACATTGGGTAATCCACGTAAGGTCATTAATTTGCAAGTCTTGGAGAATCTATTCACAACGTTGGAAGGTGGAAGATCTGTGGCAAAATCGATTCCGATATGGGACCAGGGTCGGCGTGGAACAGGTAGGGGAACCAGTTTTCCTTCAGGTAAATGGCGTGGAGTGGATGTGATGGCGACATCCCGAGCCATGCTGGGCCACCAATATCTGTTCCGGAGGAGCGAGAGGGTTCATTGGCTGCCTGGGTGACCCGATCCCGGAGAAGTGTGGATGGAGTCCAGAAGGGTGAGACGTAGAGTGGTAGGTACATACAGTCTCCCTTCCGGACCTCCTGGCGGAGCGGGTTCTGTGAAAGTGCCGGCACGAATTTGATAATTCACATCCCATGCAATAGGACATGTGAACACTGTGGGCGAGAATGGGTTCCGGGTTATCAGGAGATGGATCTGGTTGGTGAAGTCATGATAGAGCGTCTGCTTTGAGGTTTTTATGACCAGGGCGGTAGGTTACAGTGATTCTGAAGCGCGTGAAGAATAAGGCCCATTGGGCTTGTCGTGGATTGAGGCGTTTAGCTTCACGAAGGTATTGGAGGTTCTTGTGATCAGTTATTACTTTGAAGGGATGGTGAGCCCCTTCCAACCAGTGCCTCCACTCTTCCAGCGCGAGTTTGATGGCCAGTAACTCGTTGTAAGTTTGCTCCGCCAGGGACATCATTCTGGAGAAGTACGTGCATGGATGGAGCACGGGGGGTTCACCCTTCCATTGAGATAATACAGCACCCACTCCTAGAGTGGAAGCGTCCACTTCCACCACAAAACGATGGTTCGGATCAGGATGAGTCAGGGCAGGAGCGGTGCAGAAAGAGGATTTTAGCTGCAGAAATGCCTGTGGGGCTTCAGGCGTCCAGGAGAGGGTCTTTGGCCTACAACGGAGGAGAGA